CATATATTTATGTGGATTATTAACGTTTTCATGGCCTAATAATATTTTACCTTATTTTCCAGCAAGCGTAGAATATATAAAATGAAAATCGAGATCATATTTTACCTGACTATAGAACAAATATGTTTAAAGTTAACAGTGAGTTTGTACTGTCGCATCATATTACTACCGGTAGCTAGTAATTAGAGATGCACTGATACCGATACTAGTAAAATATAAATTCTCCTATACTTATCCTGATACCAGAACTTCCGGTCAGAGGGAGATTACCTCTGAACAGCAATGCCACGAGGGATCATGGAGCCAGCTTCCCAGGCAAGCAGGAATGCCATGCCGTGGCAAATGACTGGCGGCCCGGATCCTGATTGGCCAGGAAGCCGGCTCCATGCTGTTTGGCTGGCTCCATGCTGACTAGCATGGAAGCCGACTTCCAGGCAATATAGAAGCCGGGCAGCAGGTAATGACATGCTGCCTGGCTTCCTGATTGCCCGGGAAGCCAGCTCCATGCTACTGGAAGTACCGGTATCAACTCCCAGAGCCAGAGGCATGTTTGGATTTGTAGTTAAAGCACAGCTGGAGAGCCGGAGTTGCCCACCCCTAGCAGATACAGCCTACATGAGAGTGGCAACTTTGCTCCGAATTTGGTGCAGCAACATTGCCACACCATCACATAAGGTTCACTGGCAGGATCAACAAGGTTTTTTGGGATTTTGCAGGGGACTAGGAAAAAACTGTAAGGGTAGATGCATGGAGGCTAGGGTTCTACTGTTGTCTCCAACAGCAATAAGCTATCCGCGAAAAATGACTGCATATTTAACCCAATACAGAGCAGGTTCTTTATCTGCAAACAATGTCCTTACTCCTCTTACTACATTTGCCCACCTACACAGGCCTTTTATCTGAATGAAAGTTTGTACTAAGCTGCCTAATGAGGGATGAGTAACTGGGATGAGTCACTGGTGTGGTTCATTCTGTTGTATGTAGAGATGAGGCTGGGCTTGGTGTGAACTCAATTTGCCAGAGTTTACCCAAGCCCACTCAAAACTACTAACCGCCACCCCCTCCTTCCGACCCAATCTGGAATGGCTTGAGCGAACTCAGGTGAACTGGATTCACACCAAGCCAAGCCTCACCACTACTTCTATGCATAAATGGCAGCTTGAGTTGGTGCCTGTATACAACTTTTTAGCGCAGGGTATAAGTAGATAGAGATTTTTAACAGGGTAGACTTTTTAACAGGGTATAAGCAGAAAGATAAAGATGTAAACAGGATCAGAAGACACTAACGTCTGATAAAAAAATAGAAAATATTAAAATATAATATTTCATATTTCCATAACTAAAAAAGAAAAACATTTTTAAACAAAAAACGGTACAAAACCAATATGCTTTCCCTTCAAATTATACATCAATCGCACCCTTAGCAGCTGAAGTAACGTATTCTGTGGCCGTAGATGAAATGTTTATATATTAGACTTTAACCTAAAAAAATAGGTGAAAGTTATATTAAAAACATTACTACAGTATAAACCTACCAATGTATGTTTACATAATCATTTTATTATATGAATGTATTCATTTTATATAGACACCTGTTTAAAAATCTACAACATAAAAGTGTTGGATCTCACACAAAGCTACTGTATATATCTTTTCATATACTGACAGCGCACTATGAGCTGAACCAGATGCAGCTATTTGTAGTCATTTACTGTATCTTGGAGCATCCTTCACATGCCCTCCGGGATTACTTAATGCTTTTTCAGTTCTCTTTACTGTATGATACAAGTGAAATAGCTAGGTCATGTTAAGTTAAGCACAAGAAGCAATTATATGGAAGTGACCCACAGTAATGGAGTGCATTATTATTATTGGTATTATCAATATCATTATTATTACTATATAGCATTTATATAGCGCCAACAGTGCAGCACTTTATAGTATAGACATTACAGTTACAATACAATTCAAGACAAGATGGTTAGAGGGCCCTGCCCATGACAGCTTACAATCTAAAAGGCAGGGGCAAGTGATACACAAGGTTGCAGCCGTGTGAGTTGTTTGAGAAAGAGGTTAAGCTGAGCTGGGATGAGCTTTCCTGAAGAGATGAGTCTTCAGGGATCGCCTAAACGCAGACAGAGTAGGAGATAGATGGACAAGTTGGTATAGGGAGTTCCAGAGGATGGTAGAGACTCTAGAGAAGTCTTGGAGGCGAGCATGGGATGAGTTTACAAGGTAGCTAGAGAACAGGTCTTGGGAGGAGCGCAGGGGACAGTTAGGGTGACACTCTGAGACGAGGTTGGAGATATAGCAAGGGCCCAGAGTTGTGGCTTTGTAACTGAGCGGTTGGTAAGGTTGATGAGTCTGGCAGCAGCATTAATGATAGACTGAAAGGGGGCTGGCCTGTGGAGGAACATTGAAGGTGAATTTCAAGTAAACAGCTAAATACACATTCATAATGCATATATGAGAGCTGTTTTACCTGCCAAAGGGTATCCATTCATTTCTGAAATTTACAATGCCCTATCAGACAGCAAAGCCAGGCTGGTGCCTTGACTTTTCTCTACTGCAGATAAGTTACACTACTAGGTCTTGTCCCTGAACGCAGCATGTATTTGGACAGTAAAGAAAAAACAGCAGGCTAATGAGGCTTATTCTCACTCTGTTCTCTCCTCCTGTCGGTTTGTTCCTTGTCACCACATAAGCACCACAGCACACATGATTGGCTACCAGTGATGTCTCTCCCTTTCCCAGTCTTAGTACTGTGGTACAGGGGATTGCTGGAGGGTCATTCAAAGATAAATTCAGGTACTTACACTAGTTGTATCAACCACATATACAGCGCTACTATTCAATCAGTGGTCATTTAAGTGTGTACATCAAAACTGTTTTAACAGACAATTGTGTCGCCTATTTACAATAATCCAGTTAAACTACTTACACTAGTTGCTAAAAAATACTTAATGATTTTTGTAATGAACACTTGAGCACCTTCATGAATTCATGTTTCTTTATATCTTCCTAGATTTTAGCTTCAACTGAGTTTATCCTAGCCAGTATTTATGGGAACAGCCATGATGGTTCATCAGCTTTATTCCCCATCCTGATGGTCTTACCCATAATTGTTTTCTCATCTGAATATCTGTCAACCAAAATCTGTGCAGTAATATATTATTAATTATATAACATATTTACTATGAAAATTATGTAAATTAGGCTTCCCTTTCCTATCACCACTTGCCTTGTTCCAAAACAAGTGTGGCTCAGTGAACATTTCTCATTTAAATGATTCCAAGCACTTCCTTATTGAACACTTGGTGGTCTGTTAATCCTGGGTGAAAACTGTAAATCCCAGGTGAAATCTGTTAACCCTAGGTGAAGTCAGTGTCCAAAACTTATATTAAGCAAATGCAGATGTGGAAATGTTCACTGATAAAAGCAAAGGGCAATATAAAAATAGTAATCGATTGCTTTTTTGTTCTACTATGAACACAGATGCATGTCTCTATCCAGCACCCATGTGCAATAAGCCCCTATCTTTTAAATGCCTAAAAATTAAAACAAAAAGTGCATCTATGCCCAGACTATAGACATTAACATTTTACATATTGTTAACATAATTTAAAACACTGAGCTTTCTAGCTGCGTGTACTGTGAAGTAATTAAAGTCAATCTGTGGGCAACACTTCCTAACATCACCTGTTCAGACAGTCGGTGTCTCTTACCAGTAATGTTTACCTACATGGGGACCTGGTAATCAAGAGATACAGATGTTTGCTGCAAAGTGCAAACTCCTTCTTTGGATCCTGGGAGGACAGCCAGTAGGAAGTGTCCACATTAGCCAGGCAGGGAGAATCAAATATCACATGTCCATGGATTTAGGTAAGCAGAAGGGGTATTTAGGTTATTTTATGTTTTAATTTGCAACACCAATGATTAGGTATTGGGATGGGGAACAGCAGCTTGGATAGCAGGTTTAAACATCAAAGACCCTCAAAGATCACAATCACTAAAGTCAGGTTCATTCAATTTCTAACAGCTTACAAGCCAATAGTGTTTTTTACAGTACATTAGAGGGTTGGAGGCAGACAAGCTCCTATAAAAAGTAAAAGAGAATGAAGCGGATTTCAATGCCTTTGCTGTAATTTTATAGATGCATTTTTCACAGCGCCTATAGCTACAGAGATAAGGGATTATTTTAAAGTAGTCTTGGGAGGTTATATACTAAAGAGCCGAAGGATCCAGCTGTAGCTTTAACTGATCCTTTGGCTCTCTTTGGCCGCCTCTGCCCTTCGGTTCACTCAAACTGAAGGGCTGCTGTACGGGCTATTCACAATAGCCCACACGGCAGCTGAGCGGCTCAGCCGAAGTGTGGAGAAAGGTCGCCCGAAGCCGAACAATCTCCTTGCAAATGACAGCTGGGTGGAGCCAGCCGTGATCTCACAGCTCGCTCACATTTTTAAAATAATTTGTCAACTTTTTTCCCCCACTCATTTTCTATTCTGCTCGGTACCTCAGTACGAGCAGAATAGCCGAGCCGAATCGGTGGCATTCGGCTATTTACTCACTGCCGTTCTGCCCCTATGAGAATAGTGAGATGCCGGAGCTTCGGCTCAGTCGATCCAGCTGTTGGCCGAAGTCAGCCGATGTACAGCTGAAATCTGCCATACTGAGCCGGAGTGCATAGCCAAACGTCGTTCAGCTCACTTCACTTCGACTGGGTAATTCACTCGGCTGCATTCGGCAGCTTTGGGAATAACCCTCTTAATGTTTTTTCAAAATATATAGATACTTTAATGTGCATAGTATGGGCACAGGTTCATTTTAAGTGCTCCCAATATGACCTATATGACCTATTAGTGGTCATATGGGTCATCAGATATAGATCAGAGAAGAAAAACTCTGCAGCATTTCATGTATTGTAGATACTTTTTAAATATTTATCTTTTCACCGTATTTCATGTTGTAATGCACTACATTTATTCTTGGTTTTTTTTAAGACAATGAGAAGCCTATGAAGGTAATTGGAGATGATGATTTGCTGGACCATGAACTCATTACAGAATTAAGGAAAGAATATGGCATGACCTATAATGATTTCTTCATGGTGCTAACAGACTTAGATATGAGGGTTAAGGTAAGCAATATTTTAATGTGGTAATTGTTGTGGTGTTATTTTTGCTATTAGTTTTGGATACTAAGGCAGACATCCCAACCTGCAAAACCTTATTTCAGGGAGGTGCCCTTCTCATTTCACGGAGATACCTTCTCTGTTTTTTTTTTTATTTTGACAGCGGCCGTCGGCCACCTTCACAATAAAAAAACAAAAAACTAAATAGCAGGGGAATGAATAGCTAGGCTGCTATTGGTCATTTCAAATTGCAATAGCCAATAGCAGGCTTGCGCTTGTACCCACCCACTGCTGCTGTCAATCAGCAGAGGAGTACCTCAGGTCCACCTCTGCTGATTGACAGTAGCAGCATATAATATTAATAATCACAAATAAAATACAAATAATATAAAAACATTATTTAATTAATAATAACATAAACATTAATATAATAATTATAATAGTATATATGTGTGAGTGTATGTATATATATATATATAATAACATAATGTCGGGATCCATCCCTGCTGCAGCGGTCTCAGTATACCGCGAGCTGTAGCTCGCGATATACTGGGGTTTGGGTCACGGGAGGTTGCTAGTAAAAACACTTACCCCATAGTTCTCCTTTAAGTTTAAATGCCATGGGTATCATGGCGGGCTATTAGTATACTAGCAATAAAACAAATAAAGTTTACACTTATGAAACATCAAGTTGTATTAAACTGTAGATGGATTGATTGATTAATTCATTCATGGGGGGGGGGGGGTTTGATTTATTAAAACTGGAGCAGACAGAATTTGGGGCAGTTGCCCATAGTAACTAATCAGCTTCTCTCTTTCATTTTCAAATCTTAACTGAACAAACTGAAGATAGTAGCTAATTGGTTACAATGGACTGGAACTGCTCTTGATTCTCCCACCATTCATTCTACATGTTTAACTTAGCATGTACTGTGTAAAAGATTACATCCCACCCCTATAATAAAAACTTGACTGTTTAACATTCCTTGGACTGCAAAGATAAAAAATACCAATTTGGTGGGTAAGAGGAAATTCTTGTTAAAGAGCCAGATTGCTGGTTATTTGCAACGTCAAGCCATCCAAACCCACATTGAACAGCACGTTATAACTTTAATAGCAGAAAATATCTAGTTTATAAATATCGCAACAACAAATAAAGTAATGTAAGTAGTCCAGGGATAAAATAGTCCTTTCATAGTTGGGAAACGTCTGCTCCTACTCAAATTAAAAAAGCAGAATAAACTCATTATGCAAATAATAATAGCAATAAAATGTTAAAAGGAGGCTAAAAACAATCCTGGCCAAACGCTAAACACACATTTGCAGATTGTATTACTCATAACAGTATTCAGAATTAATGAGGTCCACAGACCGCTGCTTGTAGTGTAAGCCCCCGTTTACACTTTGCCGTGCCCATCAATGTGTGCAAAAGTGTGCGTGTTGACGCATGTTGACACAACACATGAAAACACGTGATGCATTTGCAGCGCCATTACTTGTTATTAATAACATCCCAAAAGCGGCAGGCAAAACATGTGAAAACACACGAAACCCCATGAAGTTCTCAGCTAAAACTGCTGCATGAGCTTCTTTGCCATATTTGTCATGCGTAGGGCAGCCCATTAAAATGAATGGGCTGCCCTGTGCTGATATGCAGTGAACGCAAGTGTGAACAGGGGCTGATACACCCACTGAAGGTCTACACTCTTGCACCTTCTTGTGTCATCTACTGCCTCCTCATTGGATTATGAATGATTGCCACCATACTGCTGAGGTTTTTTGTGTGTTATCCCACTCCTGTAATTCCTATTATTATTATTATTACATAGTATTTATATAGCGCCAACAGTTTGCGCAGCGCTTTACAATATAAGGAAGACATTACAATTCAAGACAAGATGGTAAGGAGGGCCCTGCCCCTGAGGGCTTTCAATCTGAAAGAGGAGGGGGAAATGATACATGAGGAGGTAGCTGTGTGGGGATGAATTATTTGAGAATGTGAAGGTTCAGTGGTTAGGTCGAGGTGGGATAGGCTTCCTTGAAGAGATGAGTCTTTAAGGAACGCCTAAAGGCAGTCAAGGTGGGAGATAGACGGACAGGTTGGGGTAAAGAGTTCCAGAGGATGGGAGAGACTCTAGAGAAGTCCTGGAGGCGAGTATGGGAGGAGTGGACAAGGGAGCTGGAAAGCAGGAGGTCTTGGGAAGAGCGGAGTGGACGGTTAGGGTGATATTTTGAGACAAGGTCTGAGATATAACCGGGGGCGAAGTTGTGGATGGCTTTATAAGTGACTGTTAAAGGAGAACTATGAGATGAGTGATTTCCACTCACCTCATAGTTCTAGCCGACCTGTGACAATGAGACTGTCACAGGTCGGCACAGTAGATCGGGAGGTGAGCGAACACATACCAGGTTCGCTCACCTCTCGATCCTGTCACGGCTCTCTGCCGTGACAGGGGGGGGCTGGATTCCCCTCTCCCCGCTCCGATCTGCCAGCGCTGACTGGCGGAACGGATGGGGGAGGGGGCGGGTACAGCAGGCTCTGCCTCTAGATAGGCAGAGCCAGCTGTCACTCACGCAGCTGGGCGGATCCCGTCATCTACGTCGGGATCCGCTCCGGCTGCGGCGTCTCAGTATACCGCGAGCTGTAGCTCGCGGTATACTGAGCTTAGGGTAACGGGAGGACGCTAGTTTGTGTCCTCCCGTTACCCTAAGGAGAACTATGGGGAAAAACACTGACCCCATAGTTCTCCTTTAATATTTTGATGTAATTCCTATCTTAGCTTCTAGCTTTCGCTGGCTGAAAACAAGCTAGACTATCAGTATTGCTCAATGCAGCAAAGCAAGATAACCTCCCACTATGCCGAGGTTTATGTAAATAAAACATATACATAGATTTCAGATATTTATAACAGCAGTTTTTCAAATATATTAGAATCCATTCAGATCTTGGCTTCCTCGTACATTGCATTACGACACATGCCTTAAAGATTGTTTTTCACACATTAATGTGCATTGCCTTAGGGCAGCCCATTTAAATGAATGAGATGGCAAGGTAACAACATATTTAAAAAACAAACATCCACCCTTTATAGCAACACAGTGCACCACAATGCATGGTAGTGCGTCAACGAGCGTTAGGGTTTGCTGCAATGCATATGCATTGCAGCTGTGTTGTCTTGGGCTGGAGTGCCATTCAAAAGTAATGTCACCACTATGCACTAACACGATGTGTTACTGCAACACACAGAGTGTGTTTTGGCCTGAAGACTGGATTCATACCTTTGAGCTTTTGCTTGATGCATTGTCCATTGAAACCAAAGGAACCATAGCAAAATGTATTTCAACATGTGTTGTGATGTTGTGACACGTCATCGTGTCATGATGATGTACGTGAAAATATCATGAGGCATGCACATTGACTGTGTTATGAATTCTTTGACACTCAATACAAGTCCATTAAAACATGCATGGAAAACCTGCAACAACACACAATAATGTGCCGTGACATGCATTTTTATGAATTTCCATTGATTTCTATGGAAAATGGATCAAGGGCCAAATGGTATAGGAGTGAACCCAGCCTGAATGGTTTTTAAAATTAACAACTGGACTAAAGTTTATTCTTTTGCCTCCAGCTCTGCATAAATACATTTGTGCATATGTGTTGCTTAAGGCAAGTCTGGTCCACTCCCTTGCCTTTCAGAAGATTCCTTAAACAAAAATGAATCCCAGCACATGCACAGTATGGAGCAGAAAATAAAGAGTCCCTAATAAGGAAGTAATTGGAACAAACCATTCCATGTGTACCAGGAATGTCTGACCACATTAGAGAACACCAGCATACTATGCTTATAGTAGCCACCTTTTATGAAAAGAATACTAGACATACCCTGTACTTCTGTCCTATTGTATAACATTTAGCTTACATCAATTGCCATCTACCTAGCCCAGTGACAAACTTAATTATCTCACAGCAGATATTGATACATAAAAGCATAGCAAAACAATATAGCATATGGTATGGGGACTAAATTGCTGAGCTCAAGCTCTGTACCCACATCCTTAAATTCAGTTTACACAAAAATTAAAAAAATAAATTAAAAAAATGGGACAATACATATTAATTATATACTCATAGAAAGACATTTTCATAAAATAACTGGTTTTATTCCAGAAAGAAATAGATTCAGAATATCCACAACATAAACATACTAAAAGTAGAATATAAACCTCCAAGCTTATACCCCAAAATTCTCTTCCTGCTATTAATGTCAATATCAAGTGCTTGTTTTGTCTAGGGAGCTAAAATAACAAAGTTATACTCACCCGAATCACGATCCGGGCTGGCTGTTAGACCGATCCCTTCAGCCTCTCCCCCCCTCCCCTGTGCTCCAGCGGTTTAAGGTCTTGTGAGTCATCGAGTACAGTATATAGGACGTGAGGACACCAAGGGAGGTTCCATCGTTGGAGCAGTGTAGGAGACAGGATGAAGGGATGTGACTGAGGATCCGGTGAGTATAACTTTGGGGTCTATTCACTAAGCTGCCGTAGGCAGCCGAGTGAATGACCGACCTAAAGTGAAGTGAAATTTTTTTTCTATTCTGACTAAAGAAAAACAAAAAAGAAAAAGCAGTGTTTCTCTCCTGGGAGGCCGGGAGCGGGAGACTCCCGGAGTGCCCGGAAGAGTTTGCTGTCTGGAGATCAGTGTCCCTGGTTAGCTGGTAAAACGGGCTATTGTGAATAGCCCGTACAGCAGCCCTTCGGTTCTACTGAACCGAAGGGGTCCTGGGGCCGAAGCTACCGTGAATAGACCCCTTTGTTATTTTAGCTCTCTAGACAAGACAAGCACTTAACCCTTGCAGTGCGGGGGTCCACCCTGTGGACCGAAGAAACGGGGCATTTTGGAGACCAGGAAATAAAAGCAAAGCCATGCTTAAAAAGGAAAATTGACATGCAAAAGTGGTAAGTGCTGATGTCTGCACCACTATATGACTTTTTTTAAAATAGGGTTTAAAAACACATTAAAAGCAATTATGATAATGTTTCCATAGTTAATCTCTATTTTCTGAAAATCCTAGCCCCTGGCTGTCTTGCTGGTTCAGTAGCTTTGGGAATTTCTGTGCCACCGACTCAAAACAAGCTTGACTTCATTATGATTTTTCTGATCTGCGTGTTTGCTGTGGGTGACAGTGACAGCCATTTGTCATTTTTAGAAATAGACCAATATTGCACCCTCCATATTCCCTTCAGTGCAGGTTTCTTTGAAATATAGGTCTGGGATTCAGATATCACACTGAACAACTTTTTATTTGATATAATTTAGAATATAAAATAAGGATCCGTTCGCACTAGCCCATCCACTAAAACTGAGCATTTTAACGGATTGGCTAATGTGTTGTGAATGATCCGGTATCGCACACTGCCGTGGAAGTCACTGTTTATCAGGCTACGAATAACAACACAGAAGGACCTCCTGTAATCTACGTTGTTGTTGAAGTGTGTGTAAAGTAATTTTTTATTTTTGGATAGAGAAGGGACGGAAAAAAAAAAAACCCTGTTGGTTAATTTTTTTTCTGTCTGTACCCCATTGAGGGAGATCTCCCTTCACTTCCAGAAATGCAATAGTGAAAGTGAAAGGAAATTGCTCAAAACCAAGGGGTATTCCCTTCTTAGACAGTTGCCACGGGAACTGGTAGGTGTTGTTCAATGAATGGGGATTGGTAGATTTACCCTCACATTTTATTCTGTTGACAACTCTGAAATTGTCTCGGTGACAGTGCTCAAAGGGATAGAGACAGCAAAAAAAAACCCCTCACAAAGGGTCCAACCCTTCACTGTGCTCCAAAACCAAACAAAAAAAGGCCTTTATATAACATTTTAACGCCACCGTAGGCCTTAAGTAGAACATCATGTTAGTGGAGTAGCCTGGAGAGGGAGGTATCCTTTTTTTTTTGTTTGTTTCATAGCATTTCTCTTATTTTTTTACATTTTTATAGCTAACCTGTCACCTTTATGCAAATTAACATCAAATTAATATAAAAATAGCCATCCATACTTACATTAAGCAGAGCTGTAACAATGATATTCCATTGTGGAGAGAAATGGAAAATATGGACCATGGTCAGGGCCTATTAATCTAGCAATTGTTGTTTCACCAGTCTAGTGTTTATAAGATACAAAATGTTTTAGCCTTGACTACTGAATAGTACACTAAGTCAGACAGTGACTACATGTAACCATTACCTCTATTTTACATTTTCTAAAATATAAGCAACCATTACAAACATGTGGCAAATCCTTGAATTGCATACACATTTATAGGCTCTGATGAAAAGATAAACAAATCTGAAGGACATTTCACCAATATTATATTTTTGCTTCACGCAGCAATACTATGAAGTGCCCATTGCTATGAAGTCAGTGTTTGACCTCGTTGATACATTCCAGTCAAGGATCAAAGAAATGGAAAAGCAAAAAAGAGATGGGATTACTTGTAAGAGGGAAGACAAAACAAGGTCTTTGGAAAGTTTCCTGTCGAGGTAAGTTTAATTGTGCTGGTTGAGCTGGAGGGTTGAGCTGGACTGAGCTTTTAAATATCAACTAGAGCACTTTTTTCCCCCGAAGATATAGGACCTCTTCTACTGCTGATACTCATCCTCAGTGTAGATGGTACACAATAAAGTTCAGGATATATGCACAGGATGCCTTGTGGTATGGTTTCTCTAACAGTATGAGCAGTTCTTTAGCCAGCAGTATGCAGTACATATCGGGTGTTGCAACTACTGCTTTAGCTTTAAAGTAGAACTGTTGCCTAGCAGTAAATAAGATTTAAAACAAACCCCTCTGACATCTGGAGCTGCGGAGGTGCTGTGGAGTAATAGATCATCAATGTCTAAAACAAAAGCAGTTTCCCTTAAATTTTTTCTCAGAAGGTGGTTTTACTTCCCCTTTCAGCAGTGAGTTGGCAGTCTGCCAGCCTTCTAATTTCCAATGTAAATACAGAGCAAGTGCATAAAGAGAGGGGGGAATTGAACCCCCATTTGAAAGACTTGAAAAGTGCTTCTGCTGTGAACTTTGAGGAGCAATTGCTCCAGAGTGCCTGCAGTTATAGGACCAAAGGATGTACCTGCACCTCCTGGTCTTGAAGTGGTTATACCAAGATCATGTCTGCTGCCGCTGTCATTCTTTGCAACAGGCAGAAGGCTTTTGAGAATGAGTGATCTGGATTGGCTGTAGAGCCGCCCAATCACTCGTAACCACCCCCGCATCCTCCACTGTGGTTTTTTAACTCCATTCCCCAATCTGCTCTGTGATCAACCAGCAGTTAGCACAATATGTGTTGTGCAGTGCATGTTGTTGTATATATGTATGTATATATATATGTGTATAAATACTGTATATATAATCTTGAATATTTAAATTAATTATAGTATTTCTCCAGTGTCTTATTCCACACAAAGAGTTTATCAGATTTTCTTCTCTGTAATCATCTGGATTCATTTTGCATAGTAATCATACAAGCGGACACAGTGATTGGTAACACACGAACAAATCATTGCTTACATGATGAAAACAGTGCCAAACTGGATAGATCTTTTCTGTGTCCTTTATCTTTTAAGCCACAGATGGATCAGTTTACCTTTCCTAACAACAATGTCAGAGTGATTTGCTTCAGACTTGCCCGTCCAATAAAAGTTTAGTCAGGTAATTTAATAAAGAAGAAGCTCCCCTAAAATGACAGTACTGAAATTGGTCTCCCTGAATGTTAGGGGGTTAAATGATCCAAGGAAACGTTCGAAAATTACCTACCATATGCATAAGAAAAGGGCACAGGTTTTGTTTATGCAGGAAACCCACTTTAAGGATACGAAAGCCCCTGGGTTACAATCTAGATATTACCCCCAGGTGTATACCAGTAATAATCCAATAGCTAAATCTAAGGGGGTAGCTATATGTTTCATTCTACAATACCATTTCAGCTTAAACAGATTGAAAGGGACAAGGAGGGTAGATATATCTTTTTAAAGGGTACTTTATATCATAAAAGGGTTACAATGGTGAATGTGTATGCTCCCAACCAAAAACAAATCCCTTTTATACTGGCATTGTTGAGACAATTGGATGAGTTTGCAGAAGGTATAATAATATTGGGAGGGGATCTCAATTTACCCTTAGAACCAGTGGACACATCTGTGGGGCGGTCGCAATTTTCATATTTACAACTTAAGAGAATGAAGAATGCCTTTCTTTGTTTACAATTGGGTGATATATGGAGAGTTTTGCATCCGGGGGTAAGGGATTATACATTCTATTCCCAACCACATAACTCATATAGTCGTATAGATAATTTTTTGATTTCCCACATTGCACTCCAATGGGAGCCACAAGCTAATATAGATCAACAAATTTGGTCAGATCATCATCCAATTAGTTTGGATATACAATTTGTGGACCAACTTTCTCGAGGGTTCACATGGAAAATAAATGAAACACTACTTAGAGATGAGGAGACTGAGTTGGCTATAAAGGAAGCTATCTCTACTTGTAAACGTAATCATGAACATGACATTACAGCACTCCCGATTAAGTGGGAAGCGCTTAAATGCGTTATAAGAGGTGTATTGGATAGAGAGAGAGAGAGAAAGAGAGAAAATCCAGCCATACCCTAGACCGCATTAAATGTAATTACGGCAGTTAATTTGATTTTTAAGTGGCTTACATGATGGATATATTGGATATAGCCACAATGCAGGCAAATTAATTGTTTACTTAAAGCTCAACTCTATTGAAAATTGGAGTCACGCTCCTCTTCTAGGTTAAATACTGCCCAGTGTCATTTAACCCACTTCCTGCTAGCCCAGAGCACCAAAGACATGCCTCCTGAGGGAGCATTATTAGGCCACCTTGGGCTCAAAGGAGAATGATGCAAAGAACGGGTCTCGTGACCGGATCAAAGAGAGCTCCTAAAAAGGTATGTATACAAGAAGATGTTTAGGAAAATAAAGCAGACTGGGGTTTCAAGGGGTCCAAAATATTTGTAACTCTGTTCTGCCACTCTTATGATTCACATTGCCCTGCCAATCTGAGTACCCAGGATGATGTTATCACTATTTACTGTAGGAGGTTGGCAGTTTCCTATATTGTTTCCCTGTCACCTGGATGTTAAAAAGAGTACCATCACTCCGTTGTGGTCTTCCTGTGCTCTTATCTACTGTACTCTGCCTAAACACCCCCTTCCAGCTTCCATTGGCAAAAAATATGTTGTGTTGGCAACATTGGTAATCCAGTAAAGACTGATGGTATACAGTACATAACTTGCTGTAAATCTGATTGGTACTGTGCGGAGAACTCTGGAAAGTTAATATAAATAGGGATGTTAGGCAATTATGCCGCCAGTATTTTTAATGACTATATACTTTGTATGTTTGCCTGGAGCTTCACTCAAATATTACTAACAGCCCTTCAATATATAGCAACTCGAATCGTATGTCTGTGACCAGCTTAAGTTTTTTATAAAATAAAAAAAAACTTAAAAAAAGGCACAAATGGATTTAGCAATTAGTATCTTTTGAAATCACGCGGTCTAGATTGATTATCTTAGAGACATGCATGCCATCTGATGCTGGACGTTTATCAAAAACGATATCCATTCACCCCACAAGTCATCCACTTTCACTGACCTTGATTTTCCTAATTCTACATCTGAAACTGAAAACTGTTCTGTACAAGATCAAATTTATGGAGGAACCAATTAGACAGCCCTTTGAAGAAAGAGCAGACTCGCATATGTTGTTTCATAGCCTGCACTTACTCTATAGGCATACAGTAAAAGTGTGGCCGAATATTGAATGCCTTGAATTAATATAAAAATTAAGGTATACGTGTTTGTAAAAAATAAAAAATCAGAACTTACATTTTGATGTAAAAATGTATTAAAGGAGAATTATGAGGTGAGTGATTTTCACATAATCTGAGCCGACCTGTGACAATGAAACTGTAGTTCGTGGTATACTGAGCTTTGGGTGACGGGAGGGCGCTAGTTTGTGTCCTCCCGTTACCCTTAGTAGAACTATGGGGAAAAGCCCTAACCCCCATACTTCTCCTTTAAAAATAGAATATAGATTGTATCAGATGATACAATCTATATTCTGGCATCCATTGTAAGTGATTTAATCTGCATTTGACTTTAACATCACTTTAAAGCAATGCACATTAATGCAGCACAACAGTGTAAAGGTACATGAACACATAGATCCTCACCCTTTACAGATGGGGTTTTTATTGTCATGCCATACATGGAAATCTTACAAGTGAGTATTTTATATCTATAGAATATATAGGCTTGTTCATAGGACATCCCTGGTTGCCATCTTTTGTGATCGTTCTACTTTAATATCTGTACAACAATTATGCACAATAGGTGTGTCCTCTTCTGCACTTAGCTGTTTGGCTGTCAGAAAAGAATGATTCTGCCCAATTACTGTCATAATGTGTGGCTATTCTAGATGATGAAAATAATCGACAATTGATGCTCTTCTTTACAAACCATCACATTTCATTTAAAAAGAAAATTGAACATAATCAAAATGTGGCTTGGATATTACAATTTACTTTATTCAATCAATAGCTAGCAAGCCATGAAATGCGTTTACTTCAATTTATATCTGCAGTTCTAAATTTTTGCGAGTATAGTTTTGTCTGCCAAGTGCCGCAAGCATAAATTCAGTAAAATCTTTTTACTGAAATGAAGCCAGGCAGCCACTTAACATTTCTACAAAAATCTGTGTTCAATCACAACACAATCACGTTCTTGTAAACAAGAACTGATATTTCTAAGCCCAGCCTTTATTTAGCTTCACATGTCATGTACACAGTGTGATCTATATTGTATTTAATATAAAGCCTTATATAACTGTTTTACAGTGCCAGCTACATTGCACTTTTCTTCATATTGCAGCCTTTTGACATTATATTGTGACATATTATTTTGTCAGTTCTAACAGTAACTAACTATGCATCTAACTTACATCTAACTATTAAAAAAAACTTGAAATAGAAAGGACAGATTCTAATGAAATGTGTTGTCTTTAAATTTGCAAATGAACATAAAAAGTGAAATATGCTAAAATGTAATTTTTTTTTATTATTTAAGTCCGCGGTGGGTCTGCAAAAACTAAACACCATAGTGAACAAAAACGTGCATGAGAATACACAAAAAAAGTGCACTAGGGTGTATCAAATGGTCCATCTCCCAAAGAGATAGGCCCTTTCTCTGAGCCCCCGAGCGTGAGGCTCCTGACAGAGGTGGAGAACTTGTGTCCACCTAACCAAAGCCAGGCGGACCAATTCCTCTAAGTCAGCCGAAACTGACCTCCGAGTACTACCGGACAAGTCATACACTTTCACTGACCTTGATTTTCCTAATTCTACATCTGAAACTGAAAACTGTTCTGTACAAGATCAAATTTATGGAGGAACCAATTAGACAGCCCTTTGAAGAAAGAGCAGACTCGCATATGTTGTTTCATAGCCTGCACTT